GATGAACCGTTATTACCGACAATACGAACGCGTTACAGTCAAATGTATTGTCTTGGCCCATTTATTTATGTATTACGCTTTATAACGTCAGAAAATACAACAGGATTTTATTAAATTGTCATAAAAGTTGACTGTTGTGTTATTCCAGGGTAAAAGTACTTCTACAAGAGAGACCAAAAGATTCAAAAATTACCTACCTAACTCGGAGAGTGGTGTGGTGTGGTGAGCGATTGCGGTGCGGGTTGGGGTAGGTTTTGCCGCGTTCGAGTGTGGGATCGAGGGGCGTCATCGAGGACCTCAATCAACGTGTCGCGGTCCTAATGAGCTTATAATAATATCGTGTTAGGACCGGAAAGGCGTTGTGGAGAGAGGCTGATGTAAGCCCCGGGGTATGTGAGACGCGGGTTACTGTAGAAGATCAAACTGTCGTGACGTTAGCACGTTATGAATGTGGGAAACTCGGATACGTGACTAAACTTATGGCCGAGTAAAGTTCGGCCACAGGGACTTTTCTGGAATCTGTCATTCAATTAAGTCGCCATTCATCACTCGGTTTCTCAATATTACTTACAGACTACCCGCGCACCTCTAGCACAACGACAAGCACAATGACCGTGTTTCTATGTGTAACATTCCCCATATAATATTATGGCCTCGTATAACCTTTCAACAACCCTTTACAATGTAAACATATTGGATCTCTTATGAAATTTTAAAAACAAATTTTACGTGGGCAGGAAAAACAATAACAGAGCAACGAAATAAAATAATATTGTTATCTATTATTAAAGTTTTGTATCAAAAAGCGGTTGTTAACTATAGATCATTTACAACGAACTGAGCTGTCTATATGTATAACAAGGTATTATTTATTTTTCTATTTCACCAAAAGAATCTTAATCGATCACACTGAAATGACAGTTGAAATTTCACAACCAACCACAGATTTTAAACTAAGTATAGAATTCCGTGCAACCGACATACACGCATACTTTGTTGTGCTAACTAGAAAAAAATAATATCCATTGCTATAAATAGACCAATCAATGGATAAATAAAAAATCATACATGCTTTCGCGGAACTGGTATCTAATTTTATTAGGTTCGCCGTAGTTACTAAGTACATGTTTAATTTATCATGAATATGAAGATTTGATGCCATTTTTCTGGAAGAATAAACGTACAATGCATAACGCACAGCTACTGACATACTGATTATTTAGTTATGATAATATCAACTCGTATGCATAAATTATCAATAATTTATTGCTTTTCCTCCATGGATAAGAGGTGAATTTTGATATTCCGTGTTTCTTACCACAACAGTGAAACTATTTTCTCTCTTACACTGAATTCGTTTCTTTATTTAACCAATTACATGCGATGCTTCTTTAAGTTGTTATCGCAAAACAAAAATGACGTGACTTCTGAATTCAAGGTTTGTCAGGCTTGACCCGATTGCAGTTAACTGCGCAAGAAACAGCTCTGTTAAACGTGCTTCATATGTAGATATCAGCTGTCTGTCTACTCGCGTTGTCATTAACGTTCTTAACGTACTACGTCGTGTATACAATTCCAAATTTACAGATAACTACGATGTTTTCCAGTTGGGTTTCCAATAAGTATGATAATATATTTCGGGATTGTGGTATGTCTAGGTGGTTTTCCGAAGGGTACAATTCATTTTGCCGTCGCAGCACGGTCAAGATACACAGCGGTCGATCCCGTGGCCAAATGAATACGAATGACCGTCATTGTATCTGGCCCGAGTCTGTCCCTTCGGACACATAGAATGTATATATTGGCACGCTTACACACATTAGTCACCTTTTGGGATCGTAATGAATTCTAATTTGTTATACACCATGACCAGATGCGGCTAAGTGTAGCGTTTGACCGGACCTACGCGTCGAACCATCTCGAGTAATACAGCTGTTATTGACACAACCCAGTTGAACAGATCACTATTAATACTCGTGACTCCAGACTCAATCATGTGTTTCCGTTGAGCATCTTAGTGTTTGGGATCTATTTTGGTAAAACAGGATATACATTCGGCATAATAATTATTGTGTTACTTGCGATTGTTGGCATAAGCTAACCACAAAAATGTTAACTTTTTTTTTTATTCAATACAATCGTTTTGTAATTTATAGCAATGTAAAATTGTATACATCTATTTCTCTTTTTTTGTGATATACAATATTAATATTTATTAATGGTATGTTTAAAAAAATATTTATGTCGTTCGTTTTTTTCCCTTAAACTCTAAACATTTCCGTTTTTTCCCATTCGCTGTCATGGTGATTTATTTTTATATTCGTTTGAAAATATTTTTCACCCAGCGCATAACTCTTGTAATAAAAGTTGTTATCTATACTCGGCAACCCTTGCCGGCTCATACACACGCACACTCCAAACATATTATTCGGCATGTGATGTTTACATAAAAGTTAAAATATAAGTTTTGTTAGCCAATAAAAAGTTCTGTGAAAAAAAATAAACTCTAATAGAGATAAATCTCTAATGGCGTAACACTCGTATGAATTTTAAAGGATGCCGTCTTAACAAGTTTCTGTTAATTAGAGTTTCAAGTGGTTTAAACCTAAAAGCGAGAAGATTAATCAAATTTCTGTTGATACTTTCATATTGTTTCTTACACAACAGTTGTATTAACCCAGCACAAGGAAAATGAAAACACCCACTGAGTTTCCTGGAGGGTCTAGTTTAAAGCTATAGACATAAAAAAGAAGCAATTGTTTTTATTTGTATCAATATAATATAATACACAATTTATACGTGTATAATATATTACACAATATATATCTGTACATCTGTATTTTAGATCTACATTGGCCAATTTTAAATTGTATGACTAATCTTCATAAGTGTACTTTATGTACTCTACGAAAATCGCTCTTTGGTGTTATATTCATTGCTCAAAAAGTTACGTTTAATAATACAATATGTGTTTGAAACCAATGAAACCGCTAATTCACTAAAAATGTTTGATGGGTTCCTTTTGCACTCAAGGTAAAAGTATACATAACGGGGTTTGCAAGATACGTGTGGTCTAAATTAAAAGAAAACAGAAGATTGTCAAAAATAATCATTTTTTTGTTCTGTGAAAATTTCTCCTTTTTTACTTGATTTTTCACAAACACCGTCTATTTATTTTGATAAGCGAGTTTTCTTTGACAAAAGGTGTGAGAGATAAAAACGCCAGTTATAAAAGAAATCATCAAAGGATGTCGCATGTCGTGCTTCGCAGTATATTTTCTGTTTTTCCTACTAACTCAACGCCTAACCAACCCCTATGGAGTTCCATCCCACCATAGTCGCCGAAAAGTAGGTTGACGAAACGATTTAATTGGATCTTATCTGATATATTTTGCCTGAGGCCGCCTGCATACTGTATACAAAACACATAGTATAAAAGGGACGAGGCCGTCGTGAGGTACCTAAAACCTATATGTATACATAAAGAAGTCGTATAAAGATTTATTTGGCAGTTCGTTATGTCGTCGCCACAGGACGCATCCGGAATGGCCGTGTTAAGAAAACCAGTAGATATTTTTTGTCCTTTCGATACACCGTTCGTCAGGACTGTGAGTTTTCCGTTTCCGGTCCAAAGAGCGGATACCGAAATAATAATATCATACAATAATAATATTTCAGGTTGTACCACACGGTCCTCGGTCCGATCATGCTAATATAGCCTATGTGCGTTTTTAACAAAACATAATTATTATTATAAGCGAAAAGTTTTAAGCTGTAATTTATACTTAAAGTTTTTACACCCACAGAGCAAGTACTGCCGCGCCGTGGAAGTAACAAAAAACCGGGTCGGATCCGGCAGTGTAGAAAAGTTTATCACACTAGACGGCCAGTATGCATATATATATTTATTTATTTTCTTAGGCATAGCGATATTATTATAAAACTTGCTCTCCGGCGAAACCACTCGACTCCACCCGAGTACCATAATAAAATATCTTTATTTAGAATATTATACTTATATACCGAGCCCCAGTAACAGCACAACAATAAGTAACGTATATAAGTCGGACAACGTCCCTCGAGCCAGCGCCCTTTTGCGTACTGTAAGTCACGGGTTATATCCGACCAAGTGGTAGGTTAGTCACGGCTTTTTGATTTTATTTTCATATATAAATAAACGAAATAACCCGCTAACGTTGTACAGGCTGTGAAAATACGAAACGCCGTCATGAGTTACTTAACGTTTTCCGTATATTCTTGTAATGCTATGCAGTAGTAATGGGAATGTCTGGATTTCATAATTTTGGATTAAAATTGTTTTTATCCGAGCTAAATAATAACATTTTTGTTTTTAATATATATAGAAAATCCGGATAATCTAGTTTTGAATATTCAGACAACCGGCTACTTTAGAAATTTGGATTTCAGTTTCGTCCTTACTGGACAGTAACTAGTAAAAAAGTAAAAAATAATAAGAAAGATACCTAGTTAAAAAAAACTGAATTATGAATAAATGTGCCATAGAGGTATGCGGAGGTAAAAGTTTTGACTGACTTAACTCATTCGTTAAAATACTATTATCAAAGAGATTTAGCCAAGCGAACTCGTTAGTAACTGAGCTGATTAAAATCTAAAACAAAGCGATTAACTTATTTTCTAGATAGTTTTATATTTTGAGAACCCAACAAACGAATGTATCTGTATAACCTACATGGGAAATAGTAATATATGTACAAGTCACGAACCGTCGTTGCCTGTTCGTGTATTTCGAAAACCTTTAGTGGGTTAAAAGGTATAATTATTTTACTTATACATATTATACAAATTATAGACTGGCTGTCGTGCCATATAATACATTATCTTCAAAAACTTTTAACGGTTAAAGAAATATTATATTTTAGGGCCGCCCCTATAGCTGTTGAGAGTATACACATATGTACCGCCAATATACATATCTAGCCTGGATGATCCAGATTTGGTTATTTTTATATGATACGTACGTTTACTAAAAGTCTGCCATCAAAGTAGATCTGTCTTATGTTCTATAATAATGTATTGAGAGATAACGATTTCGTACCTGCGAACATAACAAAAAATTAAAATATTAGTAACATGGTTTATGTTTTACAAAAGTAAACTATAAATGACATGTCAAACTTAACACGTAACGAGTTTCAAAACTTCAGCAGTACAATACATATCTCGGTAACAAATGCAAATGTACACTTGTATTGACTTCATGTTTTTTTTTTAAATAATACCATTAGTTCCCGTTAAGAAAATCAAAAAAACACGGTTATTCCATTGACAAAATAGTGTCACCAATACATTAATGGTTTCATATTTTCATTAACTATACAGGTTTATTTATTCTATGCTAATAGCATTGTTGAATAGATGTATAGTAGAAGGACATAAACAAACCTTATTAGTTTATTATTTATTGGTCAACATCCGTTTTGTTTCAAATCAGCATATACTCGTAGAAGTATTATTTTTTTTTTTGTAAAATATTATACAGACTTACTTATTTACACAAATCCTAATGATACCCAAGACCAAGAAACAACGTAAAACTCTGTAGTTTTTTTAGTAGGTTGCGTTTTGACGGTAGAGCTTTATAGATAATAAACTAACGGGATTTTGTTTTTTGTGATTTCTTAAAATATGGTTTTGTTTGCGATGAAAACTGAATACATGTTCTTATTATTTTTATAGATTTAATAGACTTAAATATCGAAAATAATAAAAACAATAGTACTTTTTAGGTTGGCCATGGAAAGTTTTACATAAAATGTATGCATCTTTAAAGATACAATGCCAAGCTAAGGGTTATGAGGCTGACACGTGCCAAACTTCTATTCTGTGGTTAGATTAAAAAATAACACACATCCTCGTGAGCTGTTATCGAGGACAGCGTTGCGCTGGCACCATCGGGTTTATCGTTTCCAAATAATGCGAGTGGCAGTGGGTGAGCGCAGTGTTAAAATTCAAAAAATGAAAGGCAAATTGTGAATAAAATATGCTTATATTCCGCGAAAAGCCTATACATACACTAACGGCAAGGGGATGCGACGGTTTATACACGGTCGGATGTGGAAATAAAAGGGGAAACAAATCATTTGTACAGGTGCCGAGGAGGCATTAACATTATTAAAGAAGGCACGGGCCCCGGTACCCTTGGGATGATACCGTGGAAAGCTGTGTAATGTGCTTTGTGCGGCGGCAAAACGCATATTATATATACCTACCTCGCAGGACGGACAACGGCCCCCGGACCATATAATATCTTTTATTCAACGTTCTACTCGGTTAACGAGAGCGCGTTATAATCTCTGACTTTAATATAAACCGAAAGCAAAAAAATAAATAAATAAAAAAACCAAAGCAATTGGCGCCGGGGCAAAGGGACGATTAAATTGATCTCGTAGCCGCGCGTGTGTTGAGAATTACGGCTTTTGGGAGGGAAAAAGATAATTGCGAGTTCCGCTGTGGAAAACACACAGCGGTTTGTTTTTCTCTCGTTTTTTTTTTTTGTCTTTCGTCCAATATAAAAAACAATCAGCAGAGCTGGGACGAGAGAATGCGCAAAAATACATAACGGCCTCGTTATCCGTATATAAAATTCCTATATTATACTATGATACGGCCCCCGTTTGACGCGCTTAAGCTTTTTGAAAGAACCGCCAAGGACCGGACTACCGCCGCGGGTATAATAAAAAAAATAAACACACACACACAACTTCCAAGAAATTAACGATGAAAAATTAATTCACCGACCGTATAAGGACCTTTCGGTTGTGTGTGCATTGTGTATTATGTGTAATATTATAACAAAGCGACGTGATGGTTTTTCGGCGTGAGCGGAAATAACACACATGGCTGCAACACACACACTATGTACAGGGTGTTCAACCAGGAGAGTGTTGCGTTCGAAATCAATAGGACCCGGCCGACTTAATCCTTTTACGCCGCTACCGCGCCCACCGACGTTTAGCCGGTGTGTTGCTCTTAAGCCGTCGCGCCCGTTTTTGATCTAACCTCCTAACGGGGTCTCGAACGACACGAAGGCTCGAGTTAAAAGCAAAAAATTAATTTTAACAATATTAGTAACATAACAGCGATAACAGAACCAATGCGGAATGTCGAATATTTTTTTCTCTTAAAAAATAAAGCAAAGGAATAAGTACATCAAAAGTATGTTGTATACACGTTGATATCGTTTAAACGAAAATAGAATTTCTAATGAGTCTTAGTTTTTTTTTTCCAATACGATTCTGCAAATAACTGCTTTTGCCTAACCACTCAATCCATTAGTGTGTTCAACGCGGAACCACAACTCAATGGAAAGAAGAATCGAAAAGAAGATCAATTTTGTTCGCCCGTCCAAAATATAGACGTATCACGTAAGAACTACTAAATGATCGATTTGCCAATTGGAAATTACCGGATGGTCTAATTCAGAACAAAGTTAGCCATTTTTAGCTTACCGCCGTTTATGGACGAACATCTACTAGTATTTCTACGATTGCTTTGTTGGATGTTATGCGCATACACTCGCTCAGAGATCAGATCATTAAAATTCTGATATTATAATACAAGAATAGAGTTCATTTATTAGATAAATTTAAACATATCCGAAATTAATTATTGAATTGTATGAATGGGTTTTTATACAATGTAGAACGATGCACGGTGGCAAAAGTCAGAAATAACAATGTCAACCTTTTGTATTATATATGTAAGTTTTTAACCTTTAAGTTTCAAAAAAAAAGGTAAGCTAAAGCAAAAACGTTGAACTTGTATAGTGCATAGTGCTCCTGTCGAAGACCATGTCGGTATACCGGTCGTTAGTTTGCGGTATGTATTACGATGATGTACGCCCGTTTTCATTGCCTTTTTGCCGACATTTGCGTTTGAGAGAAAGGGTTAAAAGTGGCGGGTTTCGAGGAAAACTTTATGGGAGAGACCCCCGCAATAGCACTCGGCCGTACGTGCACCTGATAACAAACGTGCGTGCATCGATGGTGGTACGTATTGATACGGTTGACGGCCATCACCGGCAGCCACAGGGGAGGCAACAAGTGTGCCGCCGGCAGGGATACGTTTCTCAGGTCTAATTTTACCTGCCGAAATCCCTACCGTTCCCTCCCCCTCATTTTGGAGCTGCCTCACGTTGGCGGGCACACACACACACAAAAGGGTATGAAAAGGGCTTTGTGCCGTTGACGTCATCCGGCCAGGCATACACGTTACGGAGGGCGGCGGCCATTTGTTATTGTACGCACGCACATACATATATATATATACATATATACACACACACACATGTACTGCCGATGGCAAAACTCAAATATTGATCGACCCCGTCAATTACGCGACGTACACAACGTCTTGGAATGAACGGTTCTTCGGTTTTGCTAACTCTATTATACTTGGGCACCTGATCCGATGGGGGGGGGGGCTGAAATGGTTGGAATCAGACAGACTTGTGGAACGCCCGTCCACGCCAGAGACTAATTCCCAGTGGCCACATTCGGTATAACCGTTTAAGAATCGTGAAAAATTTCTATAGGAATAAGTCGTTTAATAAAAATATCATATATGGAAAACTTGACATTTTTAAGTAAAAAAAAAAAAAAACGAAGAAGTAATTTTCGTGTTTCGTGAGTCACTTATTTTTGAAATTTTTTCCCAATTTAAATTCACATCTATAATGAGTTTGAATATATTTAAAAACAAATACACCGTTGGTTATTTCCATTTCCAGTCCGCGCTCGTTTGATGTTTTATTTTCATTTCGCGGTAGTGTTATTTTTCGAGTTCCGACCCGCGTTTTGTACGTTATTACTTATACATTGTACACTTTATGATAGATGTTATTTTTACGGACGTTTTCAAAACGGTACCTACTTTCCACGTCGGTGTTTGAATGGAGAAAACTCCCACTTGTCCGACCTCGCCGAATCGTTATTGATTACGACCTAGCCGGGCCTAACAATCATTTTCTATATACGGCGGACGCGGAGTGGCAAGACCCATCGATCATTCATTCTTCTGCCGGGCCTACGCCTACCGTGTATACCTACCACACTTGTCCGCAATAGCCGGTCGTTATGTTCTTGGTTTTATGTCAATCCGCTTGTAAGAACGAGCTGTGAAAACACATCGAGGCAGGCCGGCCGGTCGGTCGATATAGGCGGCGCGCAGCTGCGACGAGACGGCCACCGTGTCGTTGTGCTACTTGCAAGTCTTGCCTTACATCCACCCGCCCCTCGCCCCATCGGCAAACGAAACGTTATGTAATAATGTATACCACCCCGAGATTATGGAAGTCCGTGTGTATGCGACCAAATGGGTTTTTGCGTCATGCGGTTAACCACGAGAGCGTAAAGCTTTTGCTCGTTCGATCCGGATCACTGGTTTTTGTTAAATTATCACAGCGCACAATATACACTTACTGCAGACGCCACTACGGTTCCGTTTTCTTAATAATACTATCACTGCTCGGTCTCGGTATAGATTCGCCGTACCGTATACGCAGTTTCTTTGACGATTCAATAGCAGCGCCAAAGGAACTGCATACGACCGTGTCTGTCTCGCATAAGAGAGTGTGGTATCCAGAAACCGATGAAAGAGTGGAAATGATTCAACACGATTATGAGACGGTTAAGTTAGGTCGGCTACACTGGTAATCGTATTCACAAAGTCAGTACTAAAGTCAACGTGAATATAACGATAGAAAAACGATGGTGTGCACTTTGAATAGTTAAAATCCCTTCAGTGTCGTTCGTTATTTTTTATTAGTTGTTCGCTTTGTCCATCTCCTAAAGCGTAGTCTGATGGGTATGCTATTCCTCGCAGTAATAGCATTGACACCGAAATGGTATTATAAGTCATAGGTAACAATCAGAGCACTACGATCAAAAGGTGCATAGATCGCCCAGCCAGACCAGGGTTCATAACTTAAATGTGTGTAGTAATCTAAGCTCGTTTGTTCAACAGACTGACGAATTTGAATCGAAATTCCTGGGCTTGCGACAAATCTATAGATTAGGACACTGATCACTTAGATCG